TAATTTTTCTTGAAACTATTTAAATAAAATGTTGTTTTATTTTATATATATTAATTCATTCTTTATTCAAAAAATTTGAACAAAAAGAAAAAGAAATTTGCTCGCTGTTACAATTAGTAAAACTTACAAAAATTATGAGATTGAAATTAACTTGGAATTAAATTATCCCCAACAATAATCATATATATAATGGAAACAATAAATACTTATATATTAATCAATATTTAGCGAAAAATTATTTATTAATAATTATTTTATTAACAATTATTAATTTTTAACGTAACGAATTATAACGAACACAACGTGTATATCACTGCGTGTGCTAACTGCCGTGTCGTCTGATTCTATTCTAGTACTTTTCGATCTAGTACTTTTCCGAGATTCCGTTTTCCGAAATCCGACTGTCATGGGACAGCACCCTTAGGGTAAATTTTCACGAGTTGCTCAAATCGGCTGTTTCAGCGACAAAAAGAATCATGTGGTCAAAATTGACGAATATCAAACGCCCATTTTGATCACGTGATCCTTTTTGTCGCTGAAACAGCCGGTTTGAGCAGCTCGTGAAAATTTACCCTTACTCCGTGGTGCGGACTAAGGGTATATCCACACAAACTTGCATAGCCGCATAAACATATACATAAAGAAAATTATCCAATTGCAGTTCTCTTTTAAAATCGTACATAAAATGTGATTGGATAATTTTCTTTATGCATACGTTTATGCGGCTGTGCAAGTTGTGTGGATATACATTATACCTTAAAGAAGCATATAGCCTAGTTTACATCGTGTAATTGATACGCGTACTCATGGTGGAAATATATAAGGTGAAGCAATCTGATAGATGCGCAGTAGGAAAGTGCATATTCGGACATATTTGATTGGCTATTCCAGTATAACCTGCGCTATTATAGGTGGGAAAGTGCATATTGGGACATATTTTATTGGCTATTTCTAGTATTGCTATCGCCATTATGCCTATTGTTTCACCTTATATATTTCCACCATGCGCGTACTGACCAGTAAAGCCTGCGGCACACGATGCTTGTTTTCCTGCTGGATTGCTAGCTGGATTAGAATCTTGCCACTGTATTGGCTGCGATGCTAACACTGACAGCATCACATCCAATACGGTGGCAAGATTCTAATCCAGCTAGCAATCCAGTAGGAAAACAAGCATCGTGTGCCGCCGGCTTAAGCCCGGATCCTCGTACGGGCAACAGCGCTTTGACACCGAACGCTGATTGGTGAAAAACGGATGATGAAGATAAATTTTACCCCTACAACCAGCTTTTCACCAATCAAAGCTCTGTGTCAAAGCGCCGTTGCCCGTATGAGGATCCGAGCTTAATTTTATCGTCATATGTAAACATATACATGATATGTTTATTTAATTAATTGTTTCGATGCATATTTTATTAATTTGGTAATTATATAGAATACGGGCCTCACCTCCGATTTTAATGAATGACCACTCATTCGACGCGTTTTCACTCAAAATGAAAGAATCCGGCAAAAAAATGCGGCGCTCTGCAATGCGAACCGAATTATTAGCAGTTAAAAATTGCAGTATGAGAAGGTTAGAAAACCTGTCATATTGGCTATGTAGCGACACGAGCATGCTATATGGCTATATGCGCATGCGCTATGACTTAAATTTTAATTCATATAACAAAAAATAAAATATATTTTCCATTTGTGTTTTTGTTTAAAGCAGAGGATTTACTGCTTTAATTAAATAAAACAATTACAGTATATATATTTCTGATTTGTATTTTTGTTTTGTATGTTGCGCCAAAAGTAGCAAAACGCATGCGCACGAAGCCATAGCGCATGCGCACATAGCCATATGGCATGCTCGTGTCGCTACATCGGTATGACAGGTTTTCTAACCTTCTCATACTGCAATTTTTAACTGCTAATAATTCGGTTTGCGTTGCAGAGCGCCGCATTTTTTGCCGGATTCTTTTATTTTGAGTGAAAACGCGTCGAATGAGTGCTCATTCATTAAAATCGGAGGTGAGGCCCGTATTCTATATAATTAACATTAATTTAATATATTATTGTTTAAATACATTGCTGAAATTAAAATAATTTAATAGAAAATTACTAGTTAATAGGCGTATTAAATGCTCGGTGTAAAAGGGGTCTATGTCAACAAGATCGTCCGGATCGTCGTGTGCGAGGTTATATTTGAAAGATTATAAAATCGCGTGACTGCCTACGAAGCATCAACATGAAGTGCTGTGTGCCTGGGTGTAGGCAGGAAAGTATAAAGGGTATTTCATTTCATAGGTAAGAATTTTTGCATTAAATGTATCAATTCCTGTATATGTGTTAACGATGTAGGATATGAAGTGTTATTAAAGTTATTTTATTTTGAATGTACTGATAAAATTGAAGTGGCATTATTTTTGTTTATATATCATGTCCATATAGATTTCCATTGAGAGACCAAAATCGATCTCAATTGTGGATTGATCAAATACATACATATTTGGAAAAACATAACTGTGGACATGAAAGATTAAAACAGAATACAAAATCTGTTTTGTGTTCAAACCATTTCCTTAATAGTGACTATGTCACTACAGTAAGCGGCCGTATATTAAAAGCTTCAGCGTGTCCTTCAGTCTTTTCGGTAAGTTGTATAAAATAGCAATAGGGTAACGTGAATAGACTATAGGCATACCTTGCATAAACCTTGGTTTCATTTGAGAAAAAAGTAACTCGGAGTCTAATAATTCATGGGATGGACGGGTAGTGTAAATGTTAGTCCCAGTTTTAAAACCATTTTGATCACACAAGATATTAAAGCAGCATTTTTATGTATTACAGTGTGATCCTAATGCTAGACCTGCTCAACGGAAAAAACAACGTAAATTAAGCTCTAAAACACCTGCATTGCAGCCTCGATTACGCTACATTCTTCCAAAAGTAAAGATCAATGAACTGGAATGTACAAAAGTAATGACCACAGAATGCGACGAAGAAAACAGAAAAGTAAGTTGAGTATAGAATGAAAAACATGCACATTGCAGAATTTTTTACATTACAGATACCTTATCCCATGGTGCAAATTTCCTAAAACAATTATAAATTTCAAAAATTTTTAAGATATACTAAAAAATTTACAATTTTTAATACAATTATAATAAAATAATAATTTGCATTATTATGAAGTAATTGTATTGAAAATTGTATATTTTTTTTATTTAAAAATTTGAAATTAAATTATTAATTAAAAAGAAAATACAAAACACTTGTCAATTATTATTAATTATTATTAATTATTTTAATATTATTAATTATTTTATTAATAATATAATTGTATAAAAAAGAGTTTACTTTGTAATATACGTGACATCATTCATACTTGTTAATAATTATTAGTTTGCTCTTTGTAGAATATCTCATGTATTCAAGATTCGGTACTTGACGAATCGGTGATTAAAAAAGAAAGAATAGAGAAGCCAATGATAAAAAAGAGTACAGTCGAGGAACTGATGCTCAAAAAAGCTAAGGTCGAGGAAAAAATGCTTCAAGAAGGTACAGTTGAGGCACTGATGCTAGGTGAAGATATGATCGAGGAATCAATCGTCGAAAACACACAAGGATCGTTCCTCGAAGATTTAAACAAGGTAAAGCCATTTCATGATTTTGTAGTTTTCCTGCAAGTACGGTTATTTATTTATTGATTTAGTATTTCAATATATTCAAACGAATGTTCGGCGTTATAAATAACTTGAAGATCAAATTGGTTGAAAAATCGTTTCAATAATTAGTTAATGGATTTCATGAAAAAATATACATTTTCTATTTATTCAATTAACATTAAATTTGCTCCAGAGTGTAATCCCAATAACAGATAACAATTGAAGGAAAAAAATTCAAAATTAAAAATGGCAGATTTAAATTTCAAAATGTAATTTGTTTATATTTTCAATTTATCTAATAAATAATAATATTGTACAATTTTAATTATTGTTAACTTTTTATGTATTTATTCCATGACTTTATTATTTCTTGTAACTATCGGAGTTATGACGATGTATTTCTATTTGTAGAATGCATGCACCGGATGTTCATCATTAAAAGAAGAAGTCCAGACGTTACAGAAAAAGATAGCTGTTCTGGAAGAACTGTTATTTAAGCTGAAATCTTACAATGGAAGTGACATTTGCGATAATTCTTCGCTTCATCACAAAGAATTCTCGCAAAAATCAAGTATTCCAACCAGAACAACACAGCATACACAAAATGATCACTGTTATGCAAGCACTCCACAAAGCTTGCGACGACAGTTACATTTTTCGCAAGCCAAGGTAATTATGATGAAAGAAAAACAACGTAATACAATAAAAAAATTTCGTCGATCGGAGATGAAAGTGTCGCTGTTACAAAATTTGATGAAGTGTATGAGGAAAGAAAAGATCGCTAGACCTGTGAAAACATAGTTTGTATATTTGATTAATTAATAGGAAGTCACAAAACCAACTTAAAATATCTCCTTATGTACAAAATGTCACAAGATCATCTCCAGTTATATTTTAACACAATCTGAGCTAGAGGATGATGGTGTGTTAATCTACACCTCGCCACCTGTTTTCGTCTTATAAACGTCTGCTAGTGAGGCACCAAGTAAAGGCTTCAAATGGCAATGTGACTGCTATGGAGCAAACTACAATCCTCTTTGCGACTCGGAATTCTATTACTCAGTATCGAGACACTGTAGTGCAATGCGATACCTTAACATGTGCTTTGTTTCGTGCTTATGCCATTGATGGAACCTTCGCTTACAACTCTACCGATATCTCTATCGATACCTCTACCAACGAAGAAACGGAATGCTCAGATAATTTGGACGCTCTGCCTTCGAATATTAATGAAGAACAAGACGAAGAATCAATGGAGTTAAAATCGGAAATGCCTCCAAATTATTTTAAGTTATCCCAATTTGCCGAAAATGCAGTTGCATTAATTGCAGGTTACGTCGTGCGAATGGTATTTAACCCTTTGAGGGACACATTTTTGTGCTAAACTTGCAATGGGTATCAATGTGTTTCTATAGGTTTTTGGCGTCGCTGATCACGAATCCGGTATCAGAATTTGAAAATTCAAAATGGCGGATCCAATATGGCGTAATCAGCGACCCTGAAAACCCTTTTATACAAATTTTCATAAGATTACCTTAAAAACTCTGTCCATGGCCGAATTTATTCGAAAAAATTAAAAATTTTCCGTCTTTGATTGTTTATAAATAAATAAATAAATTTTCAAATTTTCAATCAAAGCATTACGAAGCCTAAGTAATAATGATAGTGTAGAAGTTTATTCGAGAGCGATTGAGCTGAAAACGGTCGCGGTATGGATAAAAAACTGAAAAAAGTTTGGTGTATCATATATGATACGCTGCCCCTCAAAGGGTTAAAAGAATTCATTGCATATCTTGTTGCTGTGTTTTCTGCAATGGCAACTCCAATGACAATAGACTTAAGTTAATTCTTCAAAAATTGAATGACGGCCTTAATGATGATTTCCTTCTCCCGATGTTATGACAATTTGCAGTTTGATTGAAAAGATGTTTCAAAGAGCTATCCATGAGTTGCCTATGGACACACCAGGATTTAATCACATCATAGCAAATGCAGTATTTGCCAATTTAGTCATGAAAAATTTGTTTCCAACTACATAATCACATGTTTGATATGTCAAAAGAGGAAAATCATATACATAGTCTAACAAAGACTATATCTTTGTGTTATATTAGGATAAAAATGTTTTATGAAGGCAAAAAGATTACGGAAACGCTGACAAACATCGGAAAGCGAAAGAAACTATCGCGACTTGCCATTTTCTTAAAAGGATAAATAAGCATGTAAATAAACATATTATGTATATGTATACCAAATATGTATATACTTTTCACATTTTATAGTATTTAAAATTAAGAATAATATATTATTCCACATTTTTGCAACATTAAAATTTTCTTTCCACTGTTTCTTTTGTTCTTGATAATCATATAAAAATACAAAATATTTCTATGCAAATGTTGTTCCTACTCTTAAAAGCGCAACACGCGTGCGAATGAATGTACTAATAAAACTGAAGTGATGTTATTTTTGTTTATGTACCATTCTGTCCATATAAATTTCCATACATCAATAGTATATTGATCGCAACGCGCGCGCAAACGCTTCTGATTCGCTCAAATATCGTTCCAACTAAAATGGCGGCTGATCATTTGTGGCCACAAATTTTCCTCGATGCCCATTCCAGTGTATATATATATATAGTTCAGTGAAAGTACTAGCGAGGTAGCGGGTGCTTTCCATTTGATGACAAGTCGATACAATTGTCGTTCTATCTTTATCACTCTCTGAATGGCTAAGGGTGCCGTCACATGCGGCGTAACTTGCGTAAGCGTAACTTGCGCCAACCAATCATATCATTTTACTTGAACATCAGTTTCTGTCTAGTCACTTTATGCTTTTTACGCTATTTTGTTGTTACGCCGAAACATGATAGAACTATCATGCGTCGAATCTAATTTCTGGCTCATTTTAGCTTATTCTGTCTGAAAAAATGCACAAGGGTTTCGATTTTGCAACAGTACAATTATAGAAGTCGTGCGCCCCTTTGCATCGCGTGAAAAGTCGAAACCCATATGGAACAGTACACTCAGAAAAAAGTTTTGTTGATATGTGACCAACAAAAAATTTTTCGTTGTCCTAACCAAAATTTGGTTATGCTAATCAAATTTTTGTTAGGATAACATAAAGGTTTTTGTTAGTCACATATTCTAACGAAAACTTTATGTTATCCTAACAAAAATTTGATTAGCATAACCAAATTTTGGTTAGGACAACGAAAAACTTTTTGTTGGTCACATATAAACAAAACTTTTTTCTGAGTGTACAATTATAGACCTCATTTTGCCTCTGTGACCATCGACATCTAGAATGGACCGCTGATGGCAATGGTGGGGGTAGAAAGACGATTAGAG